TACAGCTCAAGTGTTTTCATGAGTTGCCAAGACTGCAGTGGTACAAAAATATATTGGACAGATAAACAGAAAATACTAAATAGTGTGACAAATCTGTCAAGCACCGGTTGTTTGGTGCTCGCAAAGAACTGTGAGAGATTAAGGACATATGAGATGTGTTCAGTAGCAATACATTTATGCAGCTACTTTGAATTCCAAACTTGTATACTTGGTGACAGAGAGACAGACATCTCTTTTGCTCATGCAAACAATCAAATTCATTGCATAAGAGATAAATGGTTGCATAAACTCTCAGTATGGAATTCCAAACATCCCACTCACAATTATATGCAGACACCTTTCTGCTTTTCCTGGCAGACAAAATGGTAATTTTTTTTACGTATTCAAATCTTCTGCATTACTTTCAGTGGTTTCTTTTCCATGCCCAAATCCTTAGAGTGGTTTTAATAGACAAATACTTGTTACAAAGGTCCTCAGCATCTACAGTAAGCCCTGTACAAAATCCACCCTGCAGTAAAATGTTGCCACCTAAGCCTCTGTAAAACCCAGGGAAAAATCTGGATGTGGACCAGCAGATAGAGCGTCAGTGTGGAAACATAAAGAAGGGTTTGATCTCATTTATGCCCTCACTGTTCTGGAGGTGATGAAACGAGGCCGGTCTTGAGCTCGGCGAGGTCAGTCCTCTACTCTCCTCTCCTCTCTTCTACTCTCCTCTCCTCCTTCCCTCTCCCCCATTAATCACGTCTGTACACATGAAAATGAGCTTAACCCTTTTTCCCATGCCGTGCTCTACTTCCACTCAAGGACACGTCGCAACAGCATGTATAAGTAGCATCTCTCTGTGCATATATTCCTCCTGCATTACCCCTTAATGGACACCCCTCAGTCTTAGCGAAACATGCTACACAGGGCTTTATCCTGCCTTGTTAAAGCTGTCACTCTTCCTTGCGTTGCCTCATAACAATTAACACTCCCATAAACCCTTTTGTCAAATGCTTAATAGGGGAAAAAATGTAAATGAAGGACTTATCCATACCCCCTTGAGTCTAACATAATTTCACTGGCAACTAAACTATGTGAAAGGAGGTTGGTGTATAATATACTGTGTGCACGCTCATGAAAAAGAGAGGGACGAAGTGAAAGAGTGAGTAGATAGCGAGAAAGAAGATAATGTCGCCAAGGGAAAGGAAAGTAAGAGAAGTAGGTAGAGAATGAGTAAGGAAGAGAGAGGACGGGAAAAAAGAAAATGAGCTTGGTTCCCTGTGTGGCACAGTGCTTCACCACTTAATCATCCCCTGGTCTATAAATAGGCCGTCACAGCCATGGAATATTGGGAGATTAATGGAAGAGAATGGAACACCATAATGCTGTGAAGCTTCAACACTTCTGTTGAACTTCAGTCGTGCAGATTTCATTTTACTTCCCCCTCTCAGTTTTATCATTAAAAAAAAAAAGTAAAGAGGGGAAGTTCCCCAGATTGCACCCACTTTACCCTTCCTCCTCTTCCCTGTCTTTTCCTTCGCCTGCTGCAACACAGTCTTACTGGGCGACAGACGTGCATACTCGAAGGCAAATGCCACCAACGTATATAAGCACAGAAATATTGATGCAGTGCAACCATGCAAGCATTAGCAATACACCCCTACAGCAGACAGTGGAAAAAGTTTTCTCCCCTCATTTCACATTCTGTATGATGCACTGCAGAGTTTCTGTTCAGCACCTATCACAAGTGCTTATCTCCTGAGGAAATGTTGACAGTGTTGATGTAGCAGGAATCACCTTGTATCTCCCTGCACCCCTCACTGCGTGCGTGTGTGTGTCTGTGTATGTATGTGTCTGTGTGCATAACAGTGTACATTCAGGGGAACTTGTGCAGGGGTAGGCTCACATCGGGAGCGTTTGACTTTGAGGGAAAAATGACAGAGGTGTGATTTAGGTCAGGGAAGAGAGAAGGGAGAAGGGGTTGTGAGGACACTAAAGCTGTAGCGATGGGCCAAAACGAAAGAACAAATCTTTCTGACCGACTCTTTTTACAGAGTCAGCTTGTCGAATGTCTGTGCACTCAAAATTCCAACTTTCCCCATTCACCCACTTGCTGTTATCGTAGGGTATTGCTCATGCTGCCTTCTACTGCCTATACTAAAGCCCAACCTAGATGGAAATGCACTGACCAGCCAACCTTATATTCATTAGTAAGATACTTGAAAAAATAATTTCAGTGCAAATAAATTCCTTTCTTAGAGAGAATAGTATTCTGGAGGAATTTCAGTCAGGCTTTAGAACGCACCACAGCACTGAAACTGCTTTTACTAAATTATATCAGCGACTACAGACTAAATTATGAGGAAAATAACGCCTCAAAGACCTAAGCATAGCATTTGATATGACCGACCACGGCAGGATAATCAGTCGTCTTGAAAAGTTGGTTGGTCTTTCTCACTGTGTGTTAAACTGGTTCAAAACAAACATCAAACAGTTAACATGTGTCTGAGAAACATGACCTCTGTTTTGGGGTCGCATAAGGGAGCAGCCTTGGTCCATTATTATTCTTACTGTACATGCTGCCACTTGGTAACATCATTAGAGAACACAATGTTTGTTTCCACAGTTACGCAGATGACACGCAACTGTACATCTCTGCTGAACCAAACAATGCTGCAGCCATAAACTCCATCACTACCTGTCTTTTGGCAATGAAGAAATTAATGAGCACTAATAAGACAAAACTGAAATCCTGCTTGAGAAATGCTGCTTTATAATCTGAGGAATTTCAACTCCCTGGATTAAAGCTATGGTCTACGTTTAGAAAGACGATGAGAAAGATTTGAAAAAAGCATCCCCCCCCCCCGACACACACACCCCTCCCTCTGTGCTCCATGACCCCTCCGAGCTCGTGTCCCTCTCCCCTCGGAGTCTCCTAACGACGCCCCCCCTCCCGCATAGCAACAAAATGTTTTGATGCCGTCTAACCACACAAAAAACTAACGGCAGCTTTCACAGTCATAAGCCAGTATTGGCATACAGTTATCTATGTCACAACATCCACAATAAAAACGAAATATTACCTGTTCAACAAAAAGTCCGTTGTATCAGCATCACTTTTCAGGCCCATATCTTGCCGGAGCTTTCTCCATCAGTCAAAGGATGACCCGATGTTTACTCTGCTTTGAGCCCTCAACTTGTTGCATTTCCTTTTTGTTTCTGCCTTTTCAGAGGCAGACTTATGCTTCCTTTGCAGGGGCAAGCAGAGGCCGCTTGCTGCTGTTGCTCTCTTTATTTTCCATATCGAAACTCGTTTAGCTGAATCGCTCAGGGCCTTACAAACTGCTCGTACTTTCAAATGCGGAGGGGGGTTGGGATGAGGCGGGATGAGGAGTAGAGGTATGTCAAAATGGAGCGAGGGGATTGGACAGAGGGTAAGAAAGAGAGAGTGCAAATTTGAGCAAGGAGTAACTCCCATGCGGACCAGATGGCTATGATTGGTCAGTTTCTCTGCAGGCCTGCAGCCGCCAGAGGGAATGGATTTTTTTTGGTTCCTTTTGCTCTTCACATTGTGTAGCTAGCACTATTGGGCCATAACCACCATCTAAATGATGTTAATAATAATGATCAATCTTTCTAAATGTAGACCATAGCTTTAAATCTGAGGTTACAAGTCTAGGTGTGATCCTAGATTCAGATCTAAACTTCACGTCCAACATTAACAAGGTGACGAAAACATCATTTTTCCACCTCAGAAACATAGCCAAGGTATGACCATTTCCAAATGAAAATGATGCTGAGGAATTGATTCATGCCTTTATTTCAAGCCGCCTCGACTACTGTAACGCACCTTTCACTGAGAGATTCAGCTTATTCAAAACTCTGCAGCTCGGCTATTAACCAGAACCAAGAGGAGAGAGTGCATCAGGCCAGTCTGAGCTGCTCTGCACTGACTTCCTGTTGCATTTAGAATTGATTTTAAGCTCCTCCTCCTTGTATACAAAGCCCTAAATTGGCTAGGACCGAGTGACATTGCTAACTCCCTTTGCCTCCAAGAACACTGCTATCATCTGCTGCTGGTTTATTGGAGGTTCCCATCAACAGCTAGAGGTAGATCTGGGATGCAACCTTTATCAATTACACCCCAAAGCTATGGAACACACTACTTATAGATATCAGGGAAGCTAGCTCGCTAAATATTTTTAAAAGAAAGCTAAAAATGTGTCTATTCACTTTAGCCTTTAACTAGCTCTGACTTCCTGACACAGGTCTGAAACACTTTTGATGCTTTTACTTTCTATTTAAATTAAAATTCTTACATGATGTAATGATTTACAGTTTTACAACTCTTTATGAATCAGCTCTGTTTTATGTTCACTCAGTGCTTATACTGCCCTCATTGTAAAGCACTTTGTGCTGCATTTCGTGTATGAAAGGTGCTATATAAATAAAGTTTATTATAATTATTATTATTATTATTATTATTACTGTGAGAGGTGATTGAATCAAACATGAGTAAAGATCTGCATAGAGCCAAGGCCAGCAATGCAGTTATGTGCCCCTCTCTCTTCTTCTGACTGGTGTGTTCATGAGCTTCAAATTGTAATGTGGAAACAATGTGGACCCTACAAAGAAGATGTGTTTAATTGACCACTCGGGGCGTTTAAACAACATATTGTTGATGAAAAGCAAAGAAAACGGATCAGAAGAGCCATGAAATGTGATCAGAAACTAATTTTTCAGATTGTTCCGAAACCACTTGAATGCAGCACAAGGCAGAGTAGGTAACTAGGACGTCTGCTATTTGTCCCTTAAAGAAAGACTTCTTCTTCCATTGCTGTTGAAATGATATCCAGCACCTCCTACTGTCTGTGTATCAGCTTCCACCATATGCTGAAAACACATGAGTCTGCATTACTCACAGCAAATTAAACCCTTATGTGAGAATGTGAGCTCATGACTACAGGCCTACTGAGCTGGGCAAAGTTGTTATGAGTAAAATGTAATGACAAAAGGGATTTGCAGTTTTATTGCACTTTTATTTACCGTTGATTAATTACCTACAATAAAAGATGATGATCACGATAGACTGATAAAGCACATAATAAGCCCTTGTGTTCACAGAAGACATTTTGGCATAGTAAAAGCGCAGGCGTAAATAATTAAAACAATTAGAGCTGAATTCCATATTTAGCTGTTTAGGTGTCACAGTCCTGGTATCACACATGCTGGCTGAGTCACACTGTCATGGCTCACTGGGACACTTGAATAGAACAGAGCCATTGTTATTGTTACCAGAAACACCTTTGCTTTTCTTAGAAGTCAAAATGTCTGCTGTGAAGAAGTGGTGTACAGTGCTTCTGTCATCAGGCACAGTGAGAAATAACATGTAATGGGAAAGAAAAAAAAGACCAAAATTTAAGTGATAAAAATTTGAACGTTGTCTCTTCTTAAGCTTCTTGTGTTGGCTGTGGAGGCAGGGCTTAATTACTTGCATGGGCATCCGAAGCGAACTTTGTAGTCACGGCACGTGCCAGATTTCTGGTCTGTGTTGCGGCAAACAAATCCCTGAGTTGGATTGTAGCTGCAAAATGATACCAAACAGTCAGTGTGATATTTAAAGCAAGGAAATACTGAGAGCAAACAAGAACTTCTCAGTAATGGGTTACATTGTTAAAATGATACATGTAATTGAGCATAGCGTTAGTTCAGGCAGGACGTGATGTCAAGCTCAGCTCACACCCCAGCTACATCAGCTGATCTCAAACAGCCTGATTGATGGAAGGGAGTCAGCTGACAGATCACATGATTCCTTTCTAAGCAAACCAGTTAGCAAATCTCATTCAAAGCGCCCTATTTAAACTGCTCTGGCCTGCCTACTGTTGCTGCTTCCTCTGCAAGCCACTTTGCAACCCGCCTCCACCCCAGCTCCTCCTTTGCATGCTGTGTCTGACTTATCAGTGTCATTTCTGTTTGTCAGTAATGCTGGTTCTGTTCTGTTCCTGGGGGGTCTTTGCTGCTGCTTTCCCTGCCTTTGCCTTTCCATGTAGGCACATGGAAGGGCAGAGCGGTTTGCTCCCTCTGCCTTAGGGTTTCCACGTAGGCGCATGATAGAGGCTCATTGTGTAGGCCCAAGGAAAGGCAGAGAGGCCCCAGAACAGAGCCTTACCGCCAAATATAATACTGCAAATGGAAAGAAAGGGTTTTTTGCCACAAGTGTTTTTGACTGAACTATAAAATACTGATCTGCAGCAGTGTTTCTCAAATGGTGTGCTGTGGGATTTTGTGATAATACCCCACATTATATTTGCAATATTCAACTGGGCCTATACAAAAAGTTCTGAATGAATTTCTAATTGACTTTATCAGAATGTTGTGCGCACTCATTTCCTAATAAAGAGGCAAACTAGTTAAAAAATGTAATTTAATTAAAAAAACCTTCACAGGGAACCTATTGGCGGCCGTTCACGTGTGGGAATTATAAGTGTGTGACACATGAAAAGCCCTGATTGGCAGCCAGTGCGAGGGATGATAACATTTAAAAGGACAAAGCTGTGAGTGGGACAATGGAACGTTTTATTGTATGGATCAAATTACAACAAAGCACTTGTCCTTTTTTCTTATTTTTATCATCTTATGTTGTGATAAAAGTGATAACACATGTTATAGAAGCTGTTGTGCACACATATAAATACAGATGTTGAGATTTTGGCTTGCCCTTTGGTTTGAAAAGTTTGAAAACCACTGATCTAGAGTATTGTTACTCGGTCAAATTACAATTAAATCTGTTCTTAGCCTATCTATTCTCATGTTGTTCTTGGTGTCAGGCGTAACTTCTTGTGAAATATCTCAGATATCCAATGAAAATAGAATAATTAGTCAGAAATAATGAACACCAATAAACTGGCTTATTCATGTTTCTCACTCTTTAGACCACAAAAAGCTTTGTTTTCTCAGACAAAGCTGTTAGCAAAAGAATAAAGTAAAGCTCAGACATTATGTGCCTATTACCCAGTTTCCTCATGGGGCTCATTAAAATTTCATCTAATCTAATGTAAATGTGCATCTACAAAGTTTCGATTCACTGTTTAAGCAGTAGCTCCAGGCAGTACATCTTGGTGATTTGGAAAGTTTGGGAAAGAGTTTTTAATGTTGAAAAGAATTGATTTATTGTTGGGTTGTTGGGAGAAAAATTAGTACATGCAAACTTTTAAATTGTTTCCCTGTGAGGCAACTTACATATGGAGGATCTCCCCTGTAGAGATGGCTGGGGTCATTGTGTCAGTAGTAACAGCCTCAATGTAGAGTGGGTGCTCACAGATCTGTCCTGGGTTTTCTTTCTTCAGGTTACTCAAAAGTTCCCAGTCCCCTGTTCCACTGGGATCGTCCCGGTCATACCACTTTGTCCAGCACACTGCAGGGAGCAGTAAAGGAGAGACTGGGTGACTGGTGGGGAACTGTTACCTAAGTATTATTCTAAATGGATGCTTATATGCACACGAACAATGAAAGAGAAAGGGAAATCCACTTTGCATTAGCAGCTTAACACTGCACAAGAATGTACACATACAGTACCTCCTCCACCACAGAAAGGGGGGTGGCAGCTGAAACGAACACGATAATCATTGCACATCTTTTTGGATTGGTCCTGGTTTCTGCAGATGAATCCTGAAGTTGTGTCACTCCTGAAAAAAACAAACAAACACAGGCACACACTTACTAAAAGCGATTTATATATAGTGGCATAGCTCCAGGGATGGCAAAGTCAGGTTTGCCACTTTGGCCCAAATTAAAATATCTCCAAACATTTTGTACAGACATTTCTGCTCCCCAGATGATGACTTTTCCTGGCTTTGGTGATCCCCTAAATTTTGATATTTTAATCTAAAGTAGTCCATACCCATTGAGTGCACAGTTGCCCACGTACAGTTTCATATGGTGTGTGTTTGGGATACAGGTCATAGGAATTTGCAGATTAAATAGTCAGCTGAACCCATTAAGAAGAGCAATGTATTCAGAAAGAGTTTTTGTGAATTTGATAGTACGATTGCTTTATTGAAAGTACAGTAGTACCATTGCCAATAGTGGGATAGTTAGTGGGCTAAAACTGTACATTAGTAGTTGAGGTAGCACGTTGAAAGGCAGATAGTTAAAGTCATTGCCTTATAGAGGCTAAGTTTTAGTAAGTTTTCCAACTTGAAAATGAACAGGGTTTGGCTTTAGAATCTTATGGGACATGAACACTGCACTCTCGAGTAAAAGCCACTGTTTGCTGGACTAATCAACCACCCAAGGCGACTTTCAGCGCCTTAACTTTTGTCCTTGTCCCACAGCGTTTCTCCCTGATGCCGCCAACACCATTACACTATAACACCAACCGGCCGTGTATCATGCCAACGTTAAACGACGCCTTATTTTGTTGGTTTCTGCATCACAAGTCACTGCCCAAATGCCAGATTTTGACGGCTTCGGAGTGAGACCAGGCTTTGAGTTTTTAGTTTGGCCCATTTCCCATACGCTATCATGGAGGGGGTGGGGTTAATGACCTATACTGCCGCCAGCCACCAGGAGGCAGTCGAGATATTTTGGCTTCACTTCTGGGGAGCTGTCATGTTGTCCATCTTTAAATACAGTTGATGGTACAGCCTCATAGAGCCTAGCATTTGCTTATTCTGCGTTTTTCTGGTGCTCATTGGTTACCAAGTGCTTGACTGATCAATAGAACAGAATAAATTGTCGAAAGTGAAATCAGTGGAAATATCTTCAGTCTCACCAGGTAAACAAACACATACAGTAGCAACATCAATGCAACACCTTCAGTAGAATACAATATGAATCACTGCATCCTACTCACTTATAAATCACATCCCCTGCTGCCGCCACACTGAGTCCAGACAGAGTTTGGGCCTCAATATCCTGTGGTTTAGAGCAGATCTTCCCTGGGTTCTCTTTGCGAAGGTTATAGAGGGTTTCCCAGTCTCCAGTTCCAGAGGGGTCGTCTCTGTCAAACCAGTCTGTCCAGCACTCTGGACCAAAGTATTCACAGCGGGATGAATTAATAACAAGACATTTGAAATCTGTCTGTAAATGCTGGGATTTGTCAAATGTCAGAAAAGATACAAAGGCGAATGAAGTGTGAATGTAAAAACAAAAGGTGTAATCTGCTTACGAATGTGGGTGGGATAGTAGCAGGGCCACCCTGAATGTAGTTAAACAAACAAACAGTGGTTGTCAAACCTTTCTATACAAAGTGAAACACTTCAGTCTGCACTTTAAATGTTTAAAGGATTGCGAGTGAAAAGAATCTCTAACCTGGCTTCACTGGAAGGAGGGAGACGGGCTTAGCCACAAGCTGCTGTTCGCTTTCTGTCAAAGGTAATCAGAAAGACGTTGTATACTGTGACTGCATTTATTCCTGATAACAGGGTCGTCAAAAGTGTACATACTATCATGAAGTTATTGAGATCAACCTACCTAAAAACAATCCTGCAACAATAGCGACACTTAACTGTGAGACGGAAGAAAAGAAAAAAGGTTACAATCACAGGATATAACATACTGCATACAGGACTGTAAATTTGTATTGAAAAATATGGCCATATAATACAAAGTCATATTACCAATTTGATCATGATTGCGGATAATGGATGATCTTTAAAACTGTAAGGGAAGTTTTTTGCATTTAGGAAAAAATATGAATGTATATACTAACATCTTAATTTTAAATGCATTTTAATTTAAAACATACATTTACAAATATACCCAATCATAAATACATAGATAGTTGAATACCAGTATCTTTGACGGTACATAAAATTCTAAAAATTAAGTTCAGAGTAGACATTATGTTATCTCTCTCTGCAGAAACAAACACACTCACCCACAAGACCTCTCAGTTGAACAGTATGGCTGCTTAAACCTCTGTGTGGCTTAATGAGGCTCTCTCCTGTCTCTCAACTTAAATACACGTCTGGAAGATACTTGAATACATGTTCTGCAGACCTCACCCCGAGAAAACAATGCACATGTTGGCACAATAATTTTCACATTTGAAAGGGTTAATTTAGAACAGAACGTTTGGAGATAAGGTGTCCGCCATTCTTCTGTGGTCACTTTAAACCTTCTCTGCATACCTGTTTCATGCAGGCAAATGTAAATACAAAGGGATGCAAATGTGTCGGTTTCACAATAGGGTAAAAAACATATCCTGTTTCAAATTCTCAGATTGCAGCATTTAAGACCCTTAACTGCAAAAGAGGTCATTATGACACAGAGTACGTGTTGTGAAGTCAACCAGATCCTATTCCCAATTGGCCAAAACATGCCGTGGAAGCCCACATTCGCACAAAAGCTATTGTGAAGTGCATGTGAGCAGGAGAAATTTAATCTTGTTCCCATGATCTAGACATCTAATGATAACAATCAGAATGTACTAGGAAAGGTACCACCCCAAGTCTGCCGTGGAAGCCCACATTCGCACAAAAGCTATTGTGAAGTGCATGTGAGCAAGAGAAACTTAATCGTGTTCCCATGATCTATACATCTAATGATAACAATCAGAATGTACTAGGAAGGTACCACCCCAAGTCTGGGTAATGCAGTTCACCTTCATGTGTTCATCAGTGAGTGATCATCATGCAGCACTGGTTAGGGTTAGCACAAGAGCGTGGTTACTCACTTGCCTAACGACTAATGACTGAATAATTAACAAAATTAACTCTAGTGTCAAGAACACAGGTATCCCGGGCATACATCCCATGCTTGTTTGGCCCATCCGCTTCCCTCCCAGCCATTCTAAGCAGACTTTCTTGCTCATTATTCTATGTCTGTTGCTCTGTCAGTCAAATAATGACACAGATGGGTTTGTTGAAAGCCCAGTGTGTCTCATACAGATGCTAAACGGTATATTGTGCGTTTGAATCTGACGCATGGGGATGAGATCAGGCTGTATTAAAAAAAAAGGGGGCTGTAGACTGCTTAAAGGAACAGTGGGTAAGATTTAGGAGGATTAGTGGCATCTAGTGGTGAGGATTGCAGATTACAACCAGGTGAAACTTCTTGTAGTTAGAATTTTAGTGTTCATTGTACAGGAGGTTTTTACCAGGAGCCAAAATATCCGCAGAGGTTTCTTCCTCTCCAAAACAAACTGACCCGATAACTGAAACTGGTAAAAACACTGAATAAAGCAGTTTCACACTACAAATCAGCGTTTCTCATATGCTCTTGTCGTGGAGGGGCTCTTATCTCCAGTGGCCAACACAAAAGCGTAAATAGCCGTAGTTTAGTTTAGTTCAGCTTAGTTTAGTTTAGTTTAGCTTAGCTAATTTTGGTTTAGTTTGGTTTAGTTTACCTCGGCTCGGCCCAGCTCAGGTTGAGGTTGAGGTTGAGGTTCGGTTTGGTTTTTACTCGTTTGGTTTAGTTTAATTTAGCTTAACTTAGCTTATCTTAGCTTAGCTTAGCTTAGTTTATTTTGATTTAGTTTAGCTCGGCTTGGCTTGGCTCGGTTCAGTTCAGCTTAATTTAGTTTAGTTTGGTTAGGTCTGGTTTAGTTTTGTTTAGTTTAGTTTAACTGTGTTTAATTTAGCTTAGCTTAGTTTAGCTTAGCTAAGCTTAGCTTAGTTTATTTTGGTTTAGTTTAGCTCGGCTTGGTTAAGTTCAGCTTAGTTTAGTTTAGTTTGGTTAGGTTTGGTTTGGTTTGGTTTGGTTTGTTTATTTTAGTTTAACTTAGTTTCATTTAGCTTAGCTTAGTTTATCTTAGCTAAACAATATGAAAAATGTTACAGAGTTCATTACACATTTCTTTTGTAGTTAGGCTTAGTTTTCTTGTTTTCCCTCTTTAACAGCTGTAAACAGACAAGTCAAATCCATGCCAGTTCAGGGCAACCACATAATTCTGTGTTAAATAAAAAAACAGAAACCAAAAACCCAGGCATGCTCACACATTAAGAGTAAATAGTAGTAGCTATTGCACATACAGGAATATAAGCCATATACTCATCACAAGAATTTAATGATCAAATGTGTGATTCAGTGCTAAAACTTCAGGCAAAGTTGATGCAATATAAAAGGACATGCAATTTTTAAAAGCACTAGAGGCAGCAGTGACATATTTATAACTATATTGTAACACAAGCAGGACATGCTGTCAGCAGCAGCAAATTCATGAGTAATTTGCTACTATAAGGTGCTTTATGATTTTACATGTTTCTCTGTGTGCACTGTGTTCCACCCCATTGCTTGTATTCTGGTATTGTTTGACAAGACAAGTATGGCTTCCATTTGTATGCCTCACAGTCTGCCACTCAGTACTTTAAAAACCAGGGTAGTGCACAGTTGTGTCCACTGTTGCCTTATGTATGCTCTGATGAAGGTCAAACCAACCGAAAGCTCAATAAAGTGAAAACACTGCATAGATGTAGGTGTGCAGCAATGTTTTTCTACCATAAGCAAACCATACCATAATTCTACCTATTCTGGGGTCCTGTAGAAACATGGCAGTGCAACATGGCTATCCCTGCGGACGAGGACCCTCTATGTAGATATAAATGGCTTATTCTATGGTAGGGAGAACACAGCTGATTATTCACTGAAGAAATATAATTATTATATTCAATTTCTGCCAATATATCCCACACACTGAACCTTTAACTGAAACTACAACAGTAATGAACATTTATAATTGGAGCACTTACCTTCTTGTCCTTTACAGAACGGTGGGTGACAGCTGAAACTGCACAGCTGCTGCAGCGAATGCTATAATCCAGGCAAAATTTTGGCTGCCTCTTGCAGTTAAAGGCAGCTGTCATGCTATTTCTGAAGTTATAAAAGGATGATTCAGGTGCAAGTGGCTGATAGGAATTAACGCATATCACCTGTACCAGCATTACAGTTATTTTAGAAAGTGTTTAGGTGTTGTGGTTATATAAGGTGGATAATTTGTCTCATAGTAACAGAACATCTTGACACCTGGGTACATCAACACTCGTTCTGTTTGGGAGGTTAAACTAAACTGGCTTCGCAAAGATCTTCTGGGGTTTTACTTTCAGTCATTGAGAATGACCTGTCCGTGTACTGTCCCAGAGTCATTTCCAACCAACTGTGTGTCTGTGTGCGTATGTGTGTACATTCAAGGGAACTTGTGTGGGTGTTGGCTCACAGCAGGGACATTTGACTTTGAGGTAAACATGACAGAGGTTTGATTCAGGTCGGAAGGAAAAGAGACAGGCTGTGAGGACACCAAAAAACAAGCCATTTTTTCCTTAAATAGAGGGGAAGTGATAGGTTGAGAGATAAAAAAAGAACCTTAAACATCATGTGTGTTATAACTTTGCTTGATAGTGCTCCTACGTTAGTATGACATTCAGATTTACTGACACATTCCTTTTTACGTTCCCAATTTACTGTTTAAATGATATCCAGCACCTCCTACTGTCTGTATATTAGTTCCCACCATCTGTTGAAAACACGAGTCTGAATTACTCACACCAAATCATAACTTCATGAAAGCCTGTGAGCTCATGAGTATGCTCCTAATAAGCTGGTCAGAGTTGTTATGAGTACAACGCAATGACAAAAGGGATTTGCTGTTTATTAGTGGTTTTATTGCTGTTTACAGTTGATTAATTACCAATACAGCATCATGATTTCATACTCAATAGAAATAAAAAGATAGCCTGATAAAGCACATAATAGGCCTTTTCCTACAGGGGATATTTTGGCTTGTCATGTTGAGAAAAGCACGGGCGTAAATAATACAGTTAACTATGGATGGATTCCATTTAGCTGCTTAGGCTGGTATCACACATGCTGGCTCGCACTCACTCGCACTGTCATGATTCACTGGGACACTTGAATAAAACAGAGCCGTTGTTAATGTTACTTGCAACATCTTTGTTTTTTGTATAAGTCAAAATGTCTGCTGTGAAAAAGGCCTGTTATACCTCTCTCATCAAGCACTGTAAGAAAAATCAGACAAATTTCAGTGAGATAAATTTGAGCATTGTCTCTTCTTATGCTTCTTGCGTCGGCTGTGGAGTCAGAGCGTCATCATTTGCATGGGCATCTGAATCGAACTTTGTAGTCACAGCACCTACGGGATTTTTGGTCCTCTTGGCGGCAAACAAATCCCTTAATTGGGCTGTAGCTGAAAAATGATTCCAAACAGTGAATCAGTATGATATTTAAAGCAATATTCAAATCAAACAAGAACTTCCTTTTAATGGGGTACATCACTAAATCCAGAAATGTATTAAAAATGTGATTGAAAACATTAATGCTTCACACACATCTTCACCTCGGCAGCACAAAAGATCTATACAATCAGCCCAGTTTTGAAGTGGGCACCCAAAATTACAGTCACCAATTCAGTATCTGACCACATGTAACCTCTTCTGTTTCTGACGCTCTAACCTCTTCTGTTTCTGACGTTCTGACGTTGCGAAATGGCCAGTTCAGTTTTTGCAGAACATTATTTTGTCAAAGTGAAGTTGACCTTTGACTTTTTGAATATAAAATCATTTATCAATTATCCTATAAGACATTTGTGTAAAAGTTTGTCGTAATTAGCAAATTAATTCTTGAGTGATGACCAAAATGCATTTTTAAGGTCACAGTGACCTTGATCTTTGACCTTTTGAATATAAAATCATTTATCATAGATCCTGTAAGACATTTGTGTAAAAGTTTGTCATAATTAGCAAATTAATTCTTGAGTGATGGCCAAAATGCATTTTTAAGATCACAGTGACCTTGATCTTTGACCTTCAATGATCAAATTTTTTTTTTTTCCCCCACATAATTTTTAATTTCCAAAATAGAGCAGATAGAAGACACAGTAATATTTGGTCAATCCAATAGTGGCACAACAAAAAAAGTTAAGTATTAAGTTTTACCATTAAATGGTAAAAAATAGCACTAAATACTAAAACATAATATAATGGTTGTTGGTCGGACAACTGCCTGTCACATCACAATTTAATGTCTGTGAAATAGATGATCAGTCATTCAGGGATATCTGAAAAGTCCAGCTCTCGTACATACTCAAAAAAGGGATCCCACATCATGCAAATTTCCTAGGGGAGCCCCTCATTATGCACCTGATTCTTTCCAGTCTGACAAAATGAAGGACTTCCCTTATCCATAAGGTGTGTGAAGGAGGTATTGGGGACTTCCACTTGAGTAACACCAAGCATCTGGCTAGTGAGGTAACAAAGGCTGTAACAGTTCCCTCATGGGAAGAGAGTAGTACTGTGGGTGGAGTTACACCAAACAAAGCATTAGGTTCAACAGATTTCCAGTAACCCTTGACAGTGATCTAAAGATTTCTCCACAGTACGTCTGTAATGCAAGACAAGACCAGAACATGTGTACATGGCTCGCTGTTGCTTGGCTACACCTGTCACAAGTTGAGTTCACATCTTTATAGATCCTAGAGAGCCTAACCTTCCTGAAATGAGCATGGGGTACTCTTTTGCACTGGATCAGTCCATGTTTTGCACAGACAGATGATTTGTGAACTTTATCACGGACACCCAATGACCAAATTCTAATCAGTACAATGCTGAGTCCACGTGGATGCTGGTGCCAAAGTTGAAGAAATTCCCTCAAGGTGTTCTTGAGGTATTACGTTCATGAGAATGTAAAGGGTCACAATAATGTTGACCCTTTGCTCACCAAAGATGTGAAATACTATCAAATTGTTTATTTAAACCATTATGAGAAGGACTTTCAAAAAAAAAAAAAGGGCTATCTAACTCGATATCAATTATGAATTATTATTTTGAACGAGCTCCAGCTGACAGTTTATCCACGCCAACCTCATACACTGTTAGGGAGGCGGAGAGGGAGACTGGCAGACACAGGCAGACCTGGCTGTGTCTAGAGAAGACAGGCTGCGTCAGCTCTGTCCTCAGAGACAGGTGGAGACACAGCAACATTTCCTGCTACAATGCAGCACATATGAAGACTTCAGAACAATGTTCCTTACAAAAACTAAATGTATACTCCAGGATTTTGATTCACTCTCTGACCAGACTGAAATGCAACATCTACTTGGAGAAAATAATGTCAGCGCCACAGATGCAGCAAAATATGTCAGTGCCTAATGTGACCAGTGTCGCAGCCTAAGAAACAACCAACACAACAACATAGAGCATCTCCTCACACTTCACACTCTGGCTTTTTATTTACTTCTTCACTTAATGAGGTTTTTTTTCCTTGAAATTTATGTCTATAATTTTGTATCAACACGTTGTTGATTGTTTAAGAAGTCACTGTCTTAAGCAAGATTTATACTTGTGCGTCAGCTTTATGCACAGCCTACACCGTAGCCTACACACTTGGCCTACGCCATTGTGAGCATTTATACTTGTGCAGTAGCGTGTCTGTGCAGTTACACCTCCTGAACACTAGTCGGCGGTGGGGTTTCTGTGAAGGGAACTGCCCATTGGTTCGACAGCCCATTGGTTCGACATCCCATTGTTCCGACCATATTAAACTCATTGTTCCGAAGTCCGTTCCGAAATCATCATGATGCCCTGTGGTTAAGGTCTGGTTAGGTTCAGGCACAAAAACCACTTGGTTAGGGTCAGGAAAAGATCATGGTGTGGGTTAAAATGAAAAAGAAAGTGACAAACACATAAGCCGTGAGCCTGCTCTGCCTCAAGCCAGTCGCGGCGCACCATACGCCCGCTGCAAGCCGTTCAGCACCGCGGACAGTCGGACTAATGGGATGTCGAACCAATGGGCTGTCGAACCAATGACATGGACCCTCTGTGAAGTCCTGTAAAATTTAGTTGATTCGAAACACACATTAAACATGACTTAATAGCGACAATTTCAAACACAAGTACACAAATCAGCTTCACTATAACTCGCAGCCTTCACAGACAAAGCACTGGACACATTTTCCCCACAAATACAACATGCTAATGTTTTTAGCACAAGCCTATGGCATTTTACATTGTATAAATTAGCCTAGTGGATAGCAGATTTTCCTCTTCTCTTATGAAGCCAGGGACAACAGCAACATTTAACTAAGCTAACGGTACAAAATTCAGCTCCATTACAACTCACAAGATTCACCGACAAAACAGTTGTCTAAACACATACTTCTATATACTAAACATGTTTTCCCAACAAATATAACATGTTAACGCTATTAGCACAAGCCTATGGCATTGTATATATGTATGTATGTATAAATGAGCCTAGCGACAAGCAGAGATTTCATCTGCTCATATGAAGCCAGGATAAATCACACACAAGACTTAAAATGCTATTTTTGTGAAGGCTTTATTGTCTTGGCAATTTATTGTTTCTCATCTGCAAAATTAAAATAAATAAAGGCTTCGTTTCCACTGAGGGAAATGGTTTCAGCTTACAAAGATAGACAGGAGGTCTGCGTTGCTGCAACATGTAGATACGTTTCCGGGGAGGTGCACGTCAGGCTACGCCGTAGGGTACGGCTTCAGAGGTTAGGAGTCACCACCTTTTTTTCTGCTCTCTTTTTACCATGCTGGTAAATCTGAATGAATTATAGGCTACTTTGGTGCTCATGGTTTCAGTGTTAATGAACTCAACGATTAAATTATGGAGAATCTAACCAAGCTAATGATGTCTAGCATGTCTATATTGACAAAAGTTTAAACTCTAAAGAGTTTAGCTGACATATTTGTATGCACGATCTAGGCAGCTAGCAAATGTTAGCTCATGCGGGTATATAGCTGACAACCCAGTTGGTTTTAAGAGGTTTTATATCCAAAGAAATAACACAAAAATAAACTGCTTTACAGCACCAATGGCAACAAGACCTGCCGTCTAATTGAGAAGTGTTGCCATACCTGGTTAGTGAAAGGAGCTTGACATTTAATTGGGGCTTGGCTTACATCAAAGTTTTACAAAAGCCATAATTCCAACATGGTATCTCTCTTTGGTGGTATCTCAGCACGCTGATATGCAAACTCCATCAAATAACACCAGGCTCGACTTCACCAGACCCCTGACACATAAAGGGTTGATGCAGGTATCACTGAAAATTTTTCAATACTACTTGGTATTGTTTGGTTGATACCTTATAAGGTATTGAGTACCAATACCCAGCCCTAATAAAGGCTGAAATAAATACTGAAATGCCCATGTATTATTTATTAATCTATTTTTGGACTTGATTTTTTTCTCTTGACCTGAATCCCTATTACATGACTGCTAGGTGTCTTTCTGTGATAACAAAAAAATGGTGGACATTCATGTCAATTTCAGTGGAAAATGCAATGTTTTAAGAGTTTCAATATTAAAATGCCTTTAAGAAAACATTTCTAGCGAGAAAAGTGCATTTTGTTTTCAAAATTTTTATTCAGTGAATGCATATCCTCCTAAGACCCTGTGTCCTCATATGAGTGCATTAGACCTGCTGTCCTCCTTTGTGGACGCTTTATTGTGCCATCTAGTGGTAGTAAGAGCATAATACACTAATCCATGTAAAAACAAGAAGGCCGCCATCTCTACCAAGTCAGTCTACAGCTGATCCCGACACAAAAGTGGACAAGGTTCAAAACTTGATCACATATTATGGTTGAAACTTGTATATTTATGATTAATTATGCTCGTAGTTTGTATGCTCGTAGCAACAGTAACAAACTAAGACACTGTTAATTAGGAAGTACTTGTTTGAAGACACTGGAACTTTATTATCAGCTCATTTGAGGACACTGAGACTCAATTATCATTGACAATGTTTAGTTTTTTATATACTCCCAAATAACTAGGAGAAATCAAAAAAGCATACCACACAAAAGTTTGGGTCTCAGGAGGATATGATCTTTACTTTGTTAATATGAAGATTATTTCAGTCTCACTAGAAAATTGTTGTAATGCAACATTTTATTTCATCTTTAAGTAGAAACTATTTATTATTCTTATCATATTATTATTATTTTCCTGTGAGGCAACTTACCTGAAGAAGATCTCCCCTGTGGAGATGGCTGGGGTCATGTTGTCAGTGGTAACAGCCTCAATCTGCAGTGGGCTGTCACAGATTTGTCCTGGGTTTTCTTTCTTCAGGTTACTCAAAAGTTCCCAGTCCCCTGATCCACCTGGATCGTCCCGGTCATACCACTTGGTCCAGCACACTGCAGGGAGCAATAAAAGAGAGGCTGGATGACTGGTGGGAAACTGTGGCACCAAGGCACCATTCTAAATGAATGCTTATATGCACACGGACAATGGAATAGAAGGAGAAATCCATGTTGCATTAGTATCTTAACATTGCACATGAATGTGCTCATACGGTACCTCTTCTATCACAGAAAGATGAAGGACATCTGAAGCGAACACGATAATCATTACACTTCTTATTCCTGGATTGGTCCTGGTTTCTGCAGACAAATCCTGACACTGTGTCACTCCTGGAAAAAAGGAAGAACAGAATAGCACTCATTTAATATGGCCTTATAGATGCATCAACTTTAACATTTGTTTTTTGTTGGCATGGTATTGGCTTGGCTCTAATGTTATGTTCACACCAAACATGATGGGAATTTTCGCATCACATTAGTAATGTGAGTATGAATGCCACTGAAATGTTCACAGACCCAGAGAGCTGCTGTCAGTGGGACACGCAGTTTCAACACAATGTTCGGATCGTTCTAAATTGGAGGATGCAAGCACTTCACACTTTACTGTTTGTTTGGTAAGTTGATTAATTTATTCGTAGATATTTACCATTGTTTTACCTGTTGATTAGGTACAGCAGTGCTCTTCAACATGTGTCTCTGGCTTATTTGGCAGTGGTTTTACATAATCCTCTTATGAGAAATCTTCACTGCAAACACCGAGATGTCTCAGTCTTGCAGGTAAAGTGGTGATGTCTATATTCAGTGTAACTAGCCACAGCTGCTTTCATTTCTTTGTTTGAATAGAACCAAGAAACACAAGTACAGACCTTCTAAGAAACCTTTACAAAAGTGAAGCTTCAGTTTAGTTGGGGGGGGGGCTGGAGCCTATCCCAGCTGACATTGTGCGAGAGGCGGGGTACACCCTGGACAGGTCACCAGACTATCACAGGGCTGACACATAGAGACAGACAACCATTCACACTCACATTCACACCTGCAGGCAGTTTAGAGTCACCAGTTAAGCTGCATGTCTTTGGACTGTGGGAGGAAGCTGGAGTACCCGGAGAAAACCCACGCTGACACAGGGAGAACATAAAAACTCCACACAGAGGAGCTCCCCACCCTGAGTTTGAACCAGGAACCCTGGGACCAGGACCCAGGAACTCTCTTGCTGTGGGGAACTGCCCACTGGTTCGACAGCCCATTGGTTCGACATCCCATTGTTCCGACCATATTAAACTCATTGTTCCGAAGTCTGTTCCGAAATCATCATGATGCCCTGTGGTTAAGGTCTGGTTAGGTTCAGGCACAAAAACCACTTGGTTAGGGTCAGGAAAAGATCATGGTGTGGGTTAAAATGAAAAAGAAAGTGTCAAACACATAAGCCGTGAGCCTGCTCCGCCTCAAGCCAGTTGCGGCGCACCATACGCCTGCCGCGAGCCATTCAGCACCGCGGAGAGTCGGACTAATGGGATGTCGAACCAATGACATGGACCCTTGCTGTGAGGCAACAATGCTAACCACTAACTGCCTACACTGATGACAGATAATAACAGTAATAATAAAAATGCATTTTATTTATAGGTACCTTTCAGAGCACTCAAGGACACCTTACAAGACACAGTTAAAACACACAAAAAAAGCAAGCAGCAATGTTTCTATAGAAAATAAAATCAAATAATTCTATAATAAGTTAATTAAATGACTAGACAAAAATCATTATAATATTAGGGATAAAATCATCATCATAAAATCATCATCAGTGCAGGTCTCAATATGTGTCTCTCCATTAAATCAGACTGAATATGCCAGCTTGAAAAGGTGTGTTTTCAGACGGGATTTGAAGGTGGAAAGGGAGTCAATATTACGATTGTCGTGGCGGAGAGAGTTCCAGAGGCGGGGGGCAGAATGGCTGAAGGCTCCAGAACCCATGGCAGTCAAGCAGGCAAATTGTGATGTGAGCTGGATTGCAGAAGAGGATCTAAGAGTACGGGAGGGAGTGTAGATATGAAGGAGTTCAGACAGGTAGGAAGGGGCTTGATTATAACGGGCCTTAAAGTTGAGAAGCAGAATCTTGAAACTGATGTGATATTTAGATAGATAAGATAAATAGATTACTATCTTGTGCAGGTCAACTTCAAAAAATCTGAACTATCTCTTGAAGTGTTTGTTTTTCTTAGCCATTCTATTGGTGCAATGTATCCATATAGAGCGGTTTATAGAACATCGTACGAAAATGCACACACAACAGTTGGTATGACATCCTAGAAATTAGCACTCCACATATGACATTACATCCTTAAGGTACTGTTATGTAATTAACGTAAAGTTACGGAGGTTAGGTTTAGGCAAGTAGAGTTACCATGGTTAGGTTTAGGAAAAGAAACATGTTTAGGACGTACCATAAAGTGAGTCAAAGTTCACATAGTTACAAACACGCGTCTCCTGATGAAAGTCCCAAGAGAAAACCTGCCTCCTTACAAGACCACTCAGGACTTCTTCCTTGTTTACTTGTCAGTGCATTGGTCACATAATCATAGTCTTTCAAATACGTGGGTTATGTATGACTTTGGGATGCAGTACAAAAAGTTTATGAGAACAGCCTGATTGGCGCAGCTCCAATGATGCCAATGTCAGTCTCTCAGTCTTTCTGTTCGTCAGTCAGTCCACAACTCAGTCTGAAATATCGCCAAAAACTTTGGATGGGTTGCCATGAAATTTCATACAGATAATTCTGGTTCCCAGAGGATGAACTCTTCCAATTTAGGTGATCCCCTGGGTTTGGTGATCTCCTAACTTTTAATCATCAGGTCAAAATTTAAATTTCAACACATGCAAAAGTATTTGAGTCCTTACTTGTGAATAATCTCCCCTGCTGCAGCTGGACTGAGTCCAAATAGAGTTTTGGCTTCAATATCCAGTGGTTTAGCGCAGATCTTCCCTGGGTTCTCTTTGCGAAGATTGGAGAGGTCTTCCCAGTCTCCAGTTCCAGAGGGGTTGTCTCTGTCGAACCAGTCTGTCCAGCATCCTCGACCAAAGTACTGACTTTGAAATAAAGTAACAACAATTCGTCAAATGTCAAAGAAATACAAAGACAGATGAAATGTGAGTGTGAAACTAAAAGTTGTAATCTGCTTAACACTGCTCTTTAAGTGTTACAGAACATGACTGTGTGTGTCATTCAGTTTGTTTAACTGCATGTAACAGAGACTTGCTGTGCTCGTTCTCTGGAGTTACAAGGTTTTATTTTTTCCACACTCATAGAGATAGTGCATGTTGGGGTGTGAATATTATCAGACTTCAATGACTTACTGTTTACTGTAAGTCGGTCCCGCTGCATAAGGCACACCATAGGACTGCTGGTTGCCTTCTGGCAAAAGTAATCAGAAAAATGATAAAGCCTATACTGTGGCTGTGTATATTTCTAATTAAAATGTGACAAAATTGCATGTGTCATCATGCAGTTATTGAGAGGAACCTACCAAAAAACAGTCCTGTAACAATGGCAACACTGATCTTTTAGAGAAAATGGAAAATAAAAGAAGTTTCAATGACACTGAACATACAGAACATGTAAATCTAATTTGTAGAAAAGTCATACATTACCAATTTCATCATGATTCCAGATAATGAGGGACCTTTAAAAGTTACAGGAAAGTATAACATTCATCGAGATGTACACAATATTTAAATTATTTACTTTTTTATTTAACACATCTGGATTTAAATTTGTAACATAAACTTACAATAAAGTGCCTCATCATAATAACACTAATTGTTAAATACAATTGTATGAAGTTACATAATATTCTCAAAATTAAGTGTAAAAGAGACAATATGTCACCCTTCTTCTATAAAAACATGAGAAATTCACCCAAAGGTCATCTCAGTTGAACGGTACGGTTGCCTGTGTGGGTTAATGTGCCTCTCCTGTCTCTCAAATTAAATACACCTCGGGAAGATATTTAAATATTGACACATGTAAACAGTCATGTACAGCAGTATCATGTGCTGCAGACCTCACCCATAGAAAACATTCTCCCATTTCAAAAAACTCATTTGAAAGGGTTGAATGAAAAAACAATGTTTGGAGATAAGGTGTGGACCTCCACCAATCTTCTCTGATTACTTTAAATAAATACTTTGTGCATACCTGTTTCACATGGACAAATGCAAATACAAAGGGGATGTGTCCGGTGAAAAGTGCTGCAATGTTATACTCTTTACTTCACTATATCTATTCAATAGCTATAGTTAGTAGTTACTTTTCAAATTAAGATTTAACATACAGAATATAGAGTATGATCAGTTTATAAAACATGATCAATTGTTACAGACCAGTGACAACATTAAAGTACTGGTCCATAATGTAATAGTAAGGTTAGGGTTAGGGTTAGAATTTGGGTTTCAATTTGGCTGGACTGGTCTGCTGATCTGGTGTGTAACATGAATGGAGAGGAATGGTGGTGTGGAAAAGTTTTGCTTCTCCGCTCAGAGGACCAGGGTTCAATCTCCAAGCAAAGGGTAGACCACTGGACCTGAGGGCTGCTGAATAGGTATGTCCAATTTTAATTTTGAGTGGGTGGTGGCTGGTTGATGGGGTGACTGAGGGGGCAGGGTCCCGGTCGAATCTGTGGTTGTGGTGGGGGGTGATATTGGACAACACACTCTCACTCCAACCTCGTCACATTTTGACGTTTTGGTCATGGAATTTTCACGTCCACATAAGATGTGCAAGGTACCCTGGGTGCAGGTTGTTGACATTCTGAGAAACTGAGTCAAATTCTCTTCTTTCAAGATACACCTCTGTTTTCACAGGAAATTTATCGTTTACATAGTCTCTTGAAAAAAAAAAGCACTACATCTTTGCAGCACCGCGAATTGACATTTTTTTCCTTCAACAACAAACACATATTGTTGGGTTTAGGCACCAAAACACGTGGTTAGGTTTAGGAAAAAAGAACAGGATTTGGCTTTAGAATCTTCTGGCATGTGGACAACCCTCTCCTGGGTGAAAGTTGGTGTGTGTTGGACCCATCCACCACCTGTCCCACCTGCCCCACTTAGACTTTCACCACCTTAACTTTCGTCCTTGTCCCAACGCGTTTCCCCAAGCGCGGTGGGTCAAGCGCTGGATTTCAATGACTTCGGAGTGAGACCAGGCTCTATTGGATGGTGATGTTGGGTTATGGTAGAGTTGTGGTGGCTTACCGTCAAAAATGAGCTGCTTGGCTGTGTCCCAGTCCCTGTCATGCCAGTCCCCTGACCCGTGGGCTCCCCCAGGCAGGTAATATTTACACATAAAACATATGTTATTATTGCAAGACATACAATATGTATGAGCTACAGTGCGATCACCTTATAAAACATGATCACTTGTTACAGATTAAACTACTAAAAGTATATGAAAAACTATCTCCATCTTGACCAATGACAACATTAAAGTACTGCTTACAATAGTAATGTTCCACTTTTATAATAGTAAGGTTAGGGTTAGCAACACTGACACTATTCTGCATTATGAGTACTTTTACTTTTCACACTTCACATGTGAGTAAATGTTGTTGCTGATACTTCTGTACTTTTACAGACATTTTGATGGAGAACTTTTATGTGTAGAGTATTTTCATACTGTGGAATCGCTACTTTTACTTAAGTAAATTATTTGAATGCTTCATCTGGGTAGTGGGTAGTGACCTCTGGTCATAAGTTCTGGGTAATGACCAAAGAATGAGATCGTGGACACAAGCTGCCAAAAAGGAGTTTCCTCGGTGCGGTGGCAGGGCTCAGCCTCAGAGATTGGGTCAGGAGTTCGGACATCCAGAGGGAGCTGGGGGTAGAGCGAAAGGGGCCAGTTGAGGTGGTTCGGGCATCTGATCAGGATGCCTCCTGGGCATCTCTCGTTGGAGGTATTCCGGGCACGTCCCACTGGTAGGAGGCTCTGGGGCAGACCCAGGACACATCAGAGGTATTACATGTCTCATCTGGCCTGGGAACACCTCGGGGTCTTCAAGGAGGAGCTGGAAAGCGTTGCTGGTGCTTTGCTCTGTCTGCTGCCCTTGAGACCCAATCTTGGATAAATGGATGAAAATGAATAGATGGATAGTATTCATCTATCAGTGTTGCGCAGTTGGGGGATTTAACTAAGTACATTTACTTAATAGGCCTACAAATTCAAAGTACTTGTAATTGATTTGCACTTTATTGCCCTTCTATGCAACTTTACACCTCTACTCCGCTACATTTAAGTAGCAAATATTGTACCTTTTTTAAAAAGTCTGACAGCTTATATTACCTTCCATTTTACATTTTTACATGTCATCTCCAGATGTGTTGATTTTTGATGTTTATGATAAAATGAAGAGTTCCTTTGTGTTGAGAAAATTCTCTGACTTCTAGAGCTAAATAAACTTTTTGAAAACCATCTTGGATCAGCTGGAAAATGCATCGTCACAAAGCTGAAAACAAGGTTGACTTTTTAGAGATACATCTCTCACTGGACAATGCTGCTGCTAACATACAATGATCTTGTAGAATATGATGCATCGCTGTAAATTAAATTACCCCAAAGTATAAAAAGGCTTTAAATACTGAAATAAATGATTTAAATACTTTACCGTGGGGCAGCTGTGGCTCAGGAGGTAGAGGTCATCCACTAATTGGAAGATCAGCAGTTCAGTCCCCAGCTCCTCAAATCCGCACGTCGAAGTGTCTTCGGGCGAGAAACTGAACCCCAAATTGTGTGTGTGCTTAGAAATGTTTAACTGAGCAGCATGTATGGTAGCCTTTGAATGTAGTGGTAAAGCACCATGAGTGGTCACACGTATATAAATACAAGTCCGTTTACCATGCACCACTGGTAGGCACACAACAGGATCCATGTCCAAAGCTAACTTTCTTTGTTATTTCTTTCAGTCATGTGTGTCTGTATTAGTGCATCCTACTGTTACTGTGTCACCTGGCACTTGCTTTAAAAGAAAACAAAGTCTCTGCCATTAAAATTGTGTAATCGCACCTTATACAAACTTTGCCACAGCAACACTCAGACAGTCAGGCAACAGTGAAACTTAGACTGGGTGTGTTTTAATTACGTAGACAAACAATGACATGTGAGAGTCAGTTTACCCATACGTCACAGTGGATGATCCACAGTCACACAGTCAACATTTTTTAGTGTCTTAGGTATGAAATAGTTTCAACGAAGATTTGCATTGCATTGTTGGCATTGTTGTTGATGTATTTTGTTTGTTTGTTTAGGCAATTTGAGTTTGGAATATTAAGAAGCATTACAGTTAAAACTGAGTTCAATTGACCTTTCGCTAAGCCCTGCCGCTTTGTAATGGTCCGACAAGCTGTCGGAGTAAGCATGGAGCCCACACTGTAACTAACTGCACTCCCTGAAGAAATATGATCATATTTTTGGAAAAATGAAACAGTGATTCCAGAGAGAAGCAGACAGAGGGGTCTACAGTCTGTGTTTGAAGGATATATCCATGATGTCAAACTGACTCAGCAGCAACAACAGGTTAAAAAGACAATGATAGTTAGAAGCTAAAGCCAAACTATAGGCTACAGATCACAGTGTAAAAGTGAACCACCACATCACTGCTGATCGCCACACAAGACAATGAATATAAAGGGAAACTTTGCTGGTATTGAACCAGCTGTGTGGCATCACAGTGTGTGCAGATGAATGTTTGGCTTTGCCACTGCCACCACCAAGAGCTCCACTGCCGGACGGGCAGGGATCTCCAGGAGAAGTCGAACAACGTTCATCTGCGCACAATGCGATTACACACAGTTGGTTGAATATCAGCAAAGTTTCCCTGCTTCCCTTCACTGGTTCCTGTACAGCAGGGTCGGTCTTTTTTCACTGTTATAATCATTAAAAAGCAAAAGCAGCTTGTGTATACATCAGGGCAGCAGTCACCATATACATTGAGGGGAACACGTCCCCCCAATGTTCAGATATGCCCAAAATGTCCCCCCCAGTATATAACTGAAACTGAAAAACAACAACAAAAAAAGTTTTTTTGTTTTATTACTATTCTACGGCAGCCTTGTAGGCCAGGTTCTGCTTTTTAATTTGAAGTGCAACATCACTATATTTTTTTACCCCCGGGTAAAAAAAAATTGCCACTTTGGGGCTAAAGCCCCTGATGTTTTCAACTCCTAGCGACGCCCCTGGTCCCCCCCAATGTTGACTCCATGGCTACAGCCTTGGTATACATTCAGTGGGCTATATGTTCAGTAGCTAGCTAGCTAACCCTACACTTTTCAGGGTTTGGTTTTGGTTTTGGAACAGGGAAGAAACGTATATCTTTTTCCAATTTCTCCAGGTAACGAGTATCATTAATACATGACGTGCCCCAGGCACAACATTTAGCTCCAAATCCACAAAACCAGCCTGAAAATGACATCTGAAACAACTGCATTAGAGTCAATGAAGCACAGCTGTGTTGTTGTCAGACCCTTGTCTGAACTCACAGGTGAATATACTGGATTTATTTGTTCCCTTTGTTTATTTCTAATGTGACAGCTGCACATTCTACAGCTCTAAACACTTTACACACATTTACACAAGCACTATATTTCAAGCACATAAGCACTAATGTACCATCCCATAATGAAGGAGGCATGGAAATCATTTAAGTTTTGGGGCAAATCAAAGTGAAATTTATTTTACTTAGTGAATAGGCTATTCTCTGTAATAAATACCAATAAACTAATCAATTTCCTGTAACACTTTACAATGGTACACAAAAAAACGAGTAGTTACTGAGGAATGAGGAACGAATGAGTTACAAACCATTAGTAAATGGTCAGTTCTTGAGTACCTCCCAATCAAATGTGATAGAGTAGCTAATGATCAGTTAATTGATAATGACTGAGGGAACTAGTCGTTTTTTGTGTAACCCAATTTTCTAATCAATGTTCTATTAGCTGTAATATACCAGCAGTGCACAAAGAACTTCAGCAAATCATGACCAAGCAACTTTGGCAACTTGACATTAACCAGGATGACATTACCAGAAGATGTCTTTGTCACAACAACTTGACATTAACAAGAAATGCACCTCTTTTGTGTTTATGACAAGTTGACATAATGATTATTATTGTTATGACACTTAATGACAGCAGTCATAAACATTTATGACATGTACATAATGTTCATGACAGGTTCAATACTATGTCATGTCTTATGACAGTGTCATGTCACCCTTATGTATATACCTTCAAGTAAAGTGTTACCCAATTGTTTAATGTGTATGGGTTAGGGGTCACTGTTCAAGTCTAAAACTGTACAAAACTCTTCATTTCAATGTGTTAACATGGCTGTGCAAAAACAAAATAACACACTACAGTTTACAAATGTCCTTTTTGTCTGTAGGAACAGTCTGTCACACCTAATTGGCCTGTGTGAAATGCTGGGATAAAACAATAATAACGTCCCAGTGTCCTCAAACAAGATGATAATTTAGTCCCAATGTCCTCAAACAAGTACTTCCAAATTAACGGCATTTTATCTTGTTACTGTTGCTAAAATTAGTCAAATTTGTAAGCCTACAGACATTATTTTGCGCAAATAAACAAGTTTCAACAATGAAATTTTATCAGGTTTTGTACCTTGTCCACTTCTGTGTCGGGATTGGCTGCAGAATGAGCATTAAAATGTTCAAAATGGAGGACAACAGGTCTTAGTTAAGCAGAATTAAGTATAAGGTAAAGGAAAACCCAAAATGTAATGTCCTCATATGAGGACGCAAGGTCTCAGGAGGCAATTCACACTTCCAGCACATACAGAGCAACATACAGTAAGTATTCATTTGGCACCATGTTTGTGTCCACCTGACAAATTTATACGTCTCCTTTAAGCTCCCATTCAGGCAGGTAGTTTACCATACATGTGGATTTTAGATTTTTTTCACTGGAAACAGCTGCCTGCTGCTGCGGAAAACAACACAATGAGCGCTGTGAAAGTGAACCAAATCAGTACAATGGCCGGCTGTAAACCCAAATCAATGATGCTAAAGGATGCTAAAAGGCTATGTATAGCTGAGGGAAACTGCAGAGTCAGGCTTTAATTCTGTCTGGGTTTATTATCATGACTGACCCCTTTTACACTAAATGTAGTCATTTCATCCATTGCACATATAAGAATACATCCCTGTCTCCCAGAAATTACATTTGTAAACTGCTTCCTTCATTATGTTGTTATGGCAATTTCATCGTTGCCTGGATTATGTTCAGAGATGTTTCTTTCAGATAACAAACCCTACATTCATGTACCGTGCAGGCTTCGCAAGGAGGTGCTTGGGGAGGATATCTGGCATACGAGAGCTTCGGTTTTGGTTAAAGTTTGTGGTTTTGGTGAAATGTAAAAGGTAGAGATTGAAGTTGGTGATGATGGCTTTAAGCAGTACAATGTCATCACTGCTCTGGACATGGACGCCATGATGAGTACGATCTATTCATGGTTGGACAACCCAGTGAAGTTCAAGAAGTCTCATGGCGTCAATAACACCCTGGATACTGAGATGGTCCCAAAGTTTGACCATAATGAGGAGAAGTAGACTCACATCCTTATTGTGGAGGGCTTTGTGCTTTACACCTACGGACCTTTGATCGACGTCCTCAACCATCGACGTGCTAATTTCCATCCCATACCAAGAATGCAAAAAGAGGAGGTGGTTTAGGAACTACAGGGTGCCAGACCCCCCCGGCCTCTTCGACGGCCACATCTGGCCCATGTATTTGAAACACAAGAAACACAAGAACATCAACAAGAACTGAATTTCCAGGAAGGAGCTTTTATTTTGAAGTGCCATTTCCTGCTGTAGAGTGAATAACAGACAGCTATTTAACAGAGACAGCAAACTAGCTTGACGACATGGCTAAACACAAGCGTGAGGCTGAATGTATTAAACTGTGTGGACCTTGAACTAATGACTAAGGTGAAATCTGGACCTTGTGGCTGGACCAGTTGGGAACCACTGTTCTAGGAGACAGACATAGAGCCCGTTTAAAAAATGTTGCTCTCACAAATCAAATATCAAATGACCTACAAGTTATTGTAGCAGCCACTGCAAATGTAGTAAACACTCAGACAGAGAGACAGACAGAAAAAAGGGGGGCTTTAGACTGCCTAACTGAAACTATGACGATAATGAACATTTACAGCTGGAGCACTTACCTTCTTGTCCTTTACAGAACGGTGGGTGACAGCTGAAACTGCACAGCTGCTGCAGCGAATGCCATAATCCAGGCAAAATTCTGGCTGCCTCTTGCAGTTAAAGGCAGCTGTCATGCTATCTCTAAAATTATAAAAGCTTGATTCAGGTGCAAGTGGCTGATAGGAATTAGCGTATATCACCTGTACCAGCAGTTATTTTAGAGAGTGTTTAGGTGTTGTGGTTATATAAGGTGGATAATTTGTCTCATAGTAACAGAACATCTTGACACCTGGGTACATCAACACTCGTTCTGTTTGAAAGGTTAAACTAAACTGGCTTTACAAAGATCTTTTGGGTTTTTACTTTCAAACATTGAGAATGGCCTGTCCATGTATGTACTGTCCCAGAGTCATTTCACACCAGTCTGTTAATCTGTTTGAACAAGGAGACCGAAGAAGCCATTACAGTGAGACAAACTGAGAAATTAATCTAATAATTCAAATTAATTATATTATTCAAACTTCCATAAATATTTTTGGCCACTTGGGGCAGTTGAACCATCTGTGAGCACAGCTTGGACATATTATCTTCTACCAAAGCACCTTACACCATTACATGATGCCATGAGGCCCAAAAAACCTTTTTCCTATTGACTTACAATGTGAAAGAGACATCTGAGACATCAACGTAATACTGCTCTCTGTCTCTTAGCTCTTTTCTTAACCCCTTGTTGTCTCTATTTCTCTAGTGATCACTGCAAATCCATTAAGGCCCAATCCCAATAAACCCCCTTGCCCACTACCCCTTAGCCCTCAAAATGAAGTAAAGAGGGGTAGGGGTTGAAATCTTTCCCTAGGAATTGGGACACAACTCACTACGTCATCGCGTCAGTTACGTTCATGCATACGTAACTATTTTAAACAGGAAGCTGCAAGCCATCCACATTTCCAACTGGCATCTACAATGGATTCTCATTCATCCTACTGATCGCGTTTGCCGCATTCATCGGGTCCATGTCATTGGTCCGACAGCCTATTGGTCCGACATCCCATTAGTCCGACGGTCCGCGGTGCTGAATGGCTCCCAGTGGGCGTATTTCTGCCTTGATGGTGCGCCGCGACCGGCTCTGGGTCAGCTGGGAAAGGCTTGAGGTGAAGCAGGCTCACGGCTTATGTGTTTGCCACTTTCTTTTTCATTTTAACCCACACCATGATCTTTTCCTGACCCTAACCAAGTGGTTTTTGTGCCTAAACCTAATCAGACCTTAACCACAGGGCATCATGATGATTTCGGAACAATGGGACTTCGGAACAATCGGTTTAATATGGTCGGAACAATGGGATGTCGGACCAATGGGCAGTTCCCCATTCATCATGCTTCGTTTGATGAACGACAGACGACAGGGGACTTCTGCTAGCTAGCTAACCAGCTAACATTACGAGGCAGCATAGTTATACTAGCTGGCGTGTTATCGTAATGTGAAAAGTCAGACAATTTTGCAGAACAGGACAGATGACAGACGCCAGATAGTGTGAGCTAGCTAGCTAGCTAACAAGCAACCTGACGACGGTAACGTTAGCTATGTATGAACTTTTTTCCCCGTCTCTTGCTCAGTGGTAGCCATGGCGATGTCTACCCCTTGCTGGCAAGTCAGCATCTGAAATCCCTCGCTCTGAAGGGCTAGTTTCATACCTACTACCCCTCGTTATGCCCCCTACCCCTACACGCAAAAAGGAATTGGGACAGCACTACCCCTCACGGGAATGCGCAAATGTAGGGGTAGGGCCAAGGGGTAGGGCTAAGGGGGGGTATTGGGACGAGCCTTAAATATATACAGTATATAGCCAAGACATGAGAGAGACCCATCAGGAAGTGCAATGTAGCCAAACTGAGGCAGAGTAGGGCGGGCCTTACTAAGAAAAGCCAATAGGGAAGCAGAAAGCAGAATAAACTGAAGGATTAGTATGTGATGTTATGCGGAAGTTCTTCCCTCGTCTACATGCATTGGTGTGGCACTGGCGTTAGTCACATTACTTAACCCTTGATTTTAATATCCCTACTTTTATCCGGACCTTGTAACTTTTGTGGACACTACCATGCTACTAGGTCAATTAATTAACTTTGCTACTGAAAAGCTATTTGAGTCAGATAGTTGTGACGTTACCATCACGCTACTGAGAAATGCTGCTAAATTTGTATCGTAAGTTTAATCGTAAGTTTATGTTATACTTAACGTGTGTTTACATCAAATATATATGCACAATAAATGTAATTATATTTATCAAAAATTGAAATAATGCTGTTTTTGCAAGTGATTGCATTGAAAACAGAAAACATTGTGGGTGATTCTTCATAGAAGTGAATTGAAAAGAACAAATAAATAATGATTAATAAACATTACACTTAAACTGTTCTGGAAATTTCACACAAAAAAAGACTGTAAATCAACATCCTCTACTCAGGTAAATTATAGAAATGTGTGATGCATTTATGTTAAAATGGTGTATTTCATCTGTGTTCTCACAAAGCCAGAGCCTCTTTTGGTTCCCGCTCCCTCTCAGGTGTTCCTAATCAACTCCACTGACTTGTCTGTATTTCACTGTTCCACACACAACACCAGAGTAATGCTGCCCTTTTTCAGTGTCCATCCTCTGCAGTGGTTGTGTGTACACTAATTAATTGCCCTTTGAGAAGAATAGCTACCTCCCTCTGTTCAATAGCAGCTGGGGATAGTCTCTGTCTATTCATACATCAGCATTAAACTTTGTCATCTGAAGGGGCCAGCGTAATATTTTACACTAAATTGTGCTTTGGACTGGATGCCAAAGTACAAATGACAGCATGGTGTAGACTCATTTATCATCCCCCCACCCCCCAACGTACACACACCTCCTTCTATCTCTCTCCCCCCACACACCCTCAGTTTCTGTGTGTGTATCTCTCTCTCTCTCTCTCTCTCTTTTTAACTGTCTCCATGGAAATCATTGGTGTCTCCATCCTCCTGTGGTGAAGGAGCTGACTGCAGACTTTCTGTTGACCATCAGCCCCATTTACTCACACGTAGCTCTGAGAAAACACAATTTCTAGAGCACACACACACTTTCTTGTTCATCTATCTTTGCGAGAGCTTTCCGCTGACCAATTTACTACATTCATTTCCTAACAACAAAGAGGCACACACCTAATGCCCGCCACAATTATTATGCAACTCTACCAATGAATGCAGGAAGTAGTGACATGGTCATAAAGTGGCGTAATGGAGTAATGTGTCTCTCTTCTAGTCCAAGTGTTCAGCAACACTCTGTGCACTGTTACTGACTTTCACTTAAAAAACTAAGACAGAAAAACAAAGTCAATATCATGACATGAACCAATCACAATTTGTAAAAATTGTGTCATAGCAACAGTCAGTTAATACTGTCACACAGCAGTAACATTTACACAAGGTGTGTTATAATAGAGGACAAACAAAAGTTGCTGGTAAAAACAAAACAAAAAAACAATAGGCCCTTGGCACCAAGTACGTGCACACAGTGCACCCTTCACTGTCTATTTGAGAAGCATCAGGCTCTGAACAAACTCCAGTGTAAACTCATCCATGTTTTTATGAGATGGTCAGAGCGTAGATGTCATTTAAAGTGCACTCATCTGTGATTATACACCTAGAGAGATTATACAGTTATACAATAAGAATACTGGACAAAAGGTCAACAAGGTCACATCCTGGAAAAGCAAGTGTTTACATGGCCGGGTTCTTCAGTCTCTCTGCAACATGGTGGGACCATTACAGGAATTTGGATTGTCCACTAGGATTATTACTGCAGAGAACTGTATCGTACCGGAGGACCCTCTTTGGTTTGATGTCCTTTTCTGTAAATTCAGCTAACATATGCCTGTTGAACTCAAAATCGTCGCCATTTTAAAGTGGGGGCACAATCTAACATAGGGTAAATTGTAATACAGACTTTTTCAGTGGTTACACAGAGTCAACTCTTTTGTGCTTCTGGCCAGTTGACCACAATACCACCAAAAAGTGACCTGCAGAATTCCACAGAGACTGGAAGTGTTTCAGCAGAGTTCGGGAACAAAAGGCCCTTTTCACACTGCCAGATTTTCCATGAATATTGGGCCGTTTTGCCGGCAAACTGTGAGCGTTTAGACACACAGAGCCAGATTGGCAAGTTGATCCTAGGTGCCCAATTTTCCACCTCGTAGGGTAGACATATTGGCGGAACCCTTTTAGTTTAAACAGACTGAGGCGGCCTTCCGCAACGGGAGGGGCTGTTGATGACTTGTGGGAGGAGCTGTTGATGACGCTGCACGTGCGAGCCACTGGCGGTGGATAAACAGGAAACAGCTGATAGCAGGAATTAGCGAGCAGCTAGTAGCAAGAGGGAAACGCAAACCTGAAAGACACTGTAAAGATGAGCAACTGGGGAGACAAGGAATTGCTCGCCCTCCTTGTCCTCGCAAACGAAGAGGCCATTAACCATCAGATGATGGGAACAGTGAGGAACGGGCCGACTTACAAAAGAATCGCCGAAGGACTGACCAGCCGCGGCTTCCCTCCCGCGTCACTGTTTACGTCACACACTGAGCTACATGTTTTGTTACTTGCTCACACCCCCCATTGACCCTAAAAAGGCGCATTCTGTATAAACAAAAGTAGGTAGGTTGCATTTTGCTGCACTCCCCGATTTTGTTTTTATACTGCCAATGCTGAAAAAAGACTGATTGGGCTTTCCTGCAAATTTGCACAGTTCCTATCTAAAAAGGGCTAAAGAGTGTTTTCGGCCGATCTAAGTAAATGTCTTTGTCATACTTATTTTTTGATTATTGAGCTGTCTATATAAGTCGCCCAATACAACCATATATCACCTTAACAACTGTCTTGGTGCCTAAAAATAGCACCATTCTGAACCATGTAACCAACTTCCAGCAAGTGTTAGCTAAGGCTTGACAAAATTTCCAAACAGCAGGGTTTGTTGAAACGTCGTGTTACAGCTAAGCTGCCTATGGTGCATTTTCCCTCGAGTTCTCATGTTCTGCCAAACTACCAAACTGAGCGCACCTCGGGTTGCGCTGCTCGAAACTAGCTCTGCGAGGGGTCCGCCATCCTGCGCTGCGCCAGGAA